GTCCTGATGTAAAAGCTTCTGAATTATTTGCTGCGGTGCAGGAAACAGGACCATATAAAGTTGCAGTAACGATTGTGTCTATTACAAACACTACTAACTGGTGGTACATGTCTTGCAAGCCATGCAAAAAAAGAGCTGATCAACAGCTAGATGGTACCTACAGATGCCCAAAGTGTGGAGGCACAACCACAGTTCCTAGGTACCTTTTCATTAGCTTAATACCATTTCCAATCCATACATGAACTGAATATTTCCCAACGTATCTACACCTTTCATTGTTTATAACTTGTGCAGGTACCTATTATCATTTATTGCAAAAGATGACACAGATGAAGCACGGTTCTTTGCATATGATGATGAAGCAAGCAAAATAATTCAAAAAGACTGCCAGGCATTGGTGAACCCATTGCATATAAAAGAAGGATTGCCTCAGGCAATGCACAACATACTTAACAAGACATATGTGTTGTCAGTTGATCTTACCAGCGAATCGTGCAAAAGTATTAAAAAAAGGCAGTACCAGGTCAAAGCAGTTCTAGACAGGCCACCGAACCGGCCTTCGCTGCAGATCATGGCAACATCTCCGTATCACCCACCTCACACAACAAGCTCAACACCAATCATTAAGAGTCCAGAGCATTCGCCCGATCTACTTCTGATTGAGCCCGCTGCACAATCTGTAAGCAGATTTTACAGCTTGTTTGTCAACACCATTCCAGCTTATTTAGCTGTAGTCCACTCAACAAATTTTTCGTGTGACAGACTCCAGCACTTGGTAGCGAACCAGACCATGAAGCCTCCAAACATGAGGTCGATAGGTACATAATGATCCACCATTCTACATTGAAACTCCGTAATAGATAAATACATATATACTGCTTACAGAGAGTGTACGTAATCAGTGCACAATTCCAATTTATGTAAGGTCACCAACAAGACGGACATGTGCTTGCAAGAACCTCTTCGGCCACGCCGATTCGGCCGAAACTACAGAGACAGAAGAAGAACAGCGTGTCAAGGAATCAAAAAAGTATACTTTCAAGAATTTTAGCTTACCATCTTTTTATGTCCAAACATGTTGACATGCAACCTCTAGACATAGAAACTGAGTATAGTGCTGAATGGTTTTTTCCCAGGCAAAAAAAAATACACCAGGAAGATGATGCAGGTAGCGACTTACAGAGGTGAGGCAGCGTGTCTGGTACGCAACAGGTAACATTCTCCAAACAGCATCTGACTAATATGTACCAATAAACAACAAAAAAGATAAGGTCTTCCCGGCCAACTCTTATCACATAACTGACTTGGTTCTGAACAGAGACATACACAATACATTGTCTCACGCCAGTTAGTTTCAAATACTAAACATTCTTCCTTTATTGTTCCATATAGGTGCTGCCGCACTATTGCCGACATGGAACAAGCTTTTGCGTCCTACGAAGAACTGCCGTTCAAAGAAATAAAACCTATATGTAAATTATCAGAGTACGATGCATCGACTTCTGTGGTACATGCATCAGGCTATGATGCATCAGCTTCTATGTAGTATTAGCTATGGGAACATATTCGATGTCTATAGAACCTAGATACATACTACTAACGACTTTCCCTGCTGTAGACTCCGCTAAGACTACCACATACTATGGATGTGTCAGTTCGAACTGTCGCTATGAAATCGTATCGTTCCAGTTGTATATGAAACTATATTTGCCTTCTGTAAATCCTACATAAATCCTACTAAAGTATCCGGCCCAAAAATAAACCAGTCTGAGGCCACGGGCGCGCGAATGCGCGCGCTGCCATACTAGTTCATTGACATTTGAGAATGATATCGCGTTAACTTATGTTACGTAACTGTTAGCACAATTGAACGAAAAAAACTGAAATCCTTACACCCGGATCGTCCGGACGCCGCCGTTCTCGTGCCGCAGCACCAATCCAATGGCCCAACATCATATCCTCTTGTCCCCTCGTCCTCTTCAGAAGCCTCTCGTCCACCCGTCCTCTCCAGAAGCCTCTCGTCCACCCGTCCTCTCCAGAAGGCTCTCCACCACAGCGCCCCCAATTCCATTTCCACGGTGGCTCGCACTTCATTAACTCAGCGAACGATCAGTGGGTCACGTGCGAGACGGACCAGTCCTCACTTGTTAGTTACGAATTCAGCGAAGTGTTGGCCGTTGGCTCATAGAGACAGAGCCGTTTGAGGGAGCCATCCTATAGCTAGTACTAATGTACGAGGACCTGCCGTGCATTAATGTATCATATTATGGTTTTAATTTTTTTGGTTTTTTCTCTTCTCTTTTTTATTTTTATATAAGTTACTTCGTACGTACAAAGTTTTTATATTTCTGCTAACATGTTATGATATTAGTTTGTATATCTAAATTCTTGAATATAACTTATACATCTAACTTTACATCTAAGTCATTCATCAAGTTAGATATCTAAATTATACAAGTAAGTTATTATTGTATAAGTTATCCATGCTGACTTTATATAGATAACTTTGTTCATCTAACTTTTGTGTTTCTAAGTTTTGACACAAGTTATAAGTTAATTTCATATGCACCGGTGTGTTTTACGTAATGAGACGAACAAAACCCCAATTCCATTTCGTCGTTCACTCGATTCTACCACGGCAAACAATAGACCGCTACTGTGCAGACTTGTACCTTCCCTTTTTTTGTGCCGTTCATTTCTGTCCTTTCCTTTACTCATATTCCCCCAATTCCGTGACATGCAGATATCCATACACGCGGGTGTTTTTAGTGCATGCTGGTCGAATTTGTCCCGTGCCATAGCTACACCTGTGAATGTTTCTTTTTTTTTCTACCATTTTTTTCTCTTTTTTTTACATATTTATAAGTTATACCACATGGTTATTTTCATACATAGTTTCATATTTCTACTAATATGTTATAATATTAATTTGTATATCTAAGTTCTTGAATATAACTTATAAGTTCAACTTTACATCTAAGTCATTAATTAAGTTATATATCTAAGTTATACAAACAAGTTATTATAATATAAGATCAATGTTGACTTGAACAAGTTATTGTAATATAAGTTATCAATGTTGACTTAAAAGTATAAGTATGTTAATCTAACTTATAAGTTATACAAACCCGTTATTATAATATAAGTTATCAATGAGACTTGTACATGTAAGTTTGCTAATATTTTTACATGCATGTTATCTAGCTTATAAAAGTATATTTTATTTGACTCCCATCACCACATGCGCTGGACCACGTGAAAACTAAAACAGCGACGCGCACAAGAGACTAGCCAATAAAGGAATCATACGGGAATAGTTTATTTCCTAAAAGGGAATGTTACGGAGATGTCTGATCGTTTGCGCTATTTTAATCGGATGATCGTTCGCGGAATAGTGTGGCCGCCACAGCGCCGCTGCAGCGCTCCGCAGCGCCACCTTGGCGTTCTTCACGACGTCTGGGCGTCGGCCACCGCCCGGCATCTCTCCACCGCGCCCCAGCGCGGCTGCCCGTCTTCCTCCCTCTCCACCGGACCTGTTGGGCCTTCTCTACCGGAGCGGTGAGCTCCGCGCCACCGGCGAGCTCTACACCAGTGAACTCCACACGTCGACGAGCCTCCATTCCCAAGTAGTAAGGAGATGTTGTGCTCAAAGCACATGTTGCAAACACATGTTTCATATGTTTTAGATGTTTTAGAGGTATGTTGTAAGTGTTTCGTATCGGTGTTGTAAAAGTAGATCGGGATGTTGCAAAAGTAGATTGAGATGTTGCACATGTTGCAATAGCTATACACATATGTTTCAAGTGTATGTTCCAAATGTTTCATCTCTATCAGATGTATGTTGCAAGTATTTTTATCTGGATGTTGTAAAAGTGGATCTGGATGTTGCATATATATGTATATTGCAAACGTATTTTTCAAGTGGTTTCATATGTTTCAAACGTCTGTTGGAAATGTTTCATCTAGATGTTACGTATGTTTGTAATGGTTTTCAAGTGTTTTTGAGGTGCTTTTTTGCAAGTGTTTTAGACGCATATTTCAAGTGTTTTATTTGTCTTTTTTTATATTGCAAATGTTGCATCTGGATGTTTCAAAAATAAATCGGGGTTGCACATGGGATGCACGTGAAAAGTAGTTGGCAGGCCCGCTGCTGGGGTGCCGCCTGCTAGCCCAACGCGTTGGGGTGCTCGCTCGCTCGTTGAGCGAGTACCATCCGACGCTAGCGCCCCAAATCGGACATCCGGGCGTTAGCAAGTGCAAAAAAAAAATTATTGAGAATGATCTCGTGGGCACCTATCTCGAAACATATCTTGGATTCACGACAGTGTGTAAATGCAAAACCATCTTGATTGTTATATAAATTTCGTATAGTTAAAAAGAAAAACGAAGTATTTCTCATGCATTGGTTGATTTTTGCATTCATACATGTCACGAATCCGTAATGGCGCCCATCACTACCCCATTTGGGACCATCACCACTGATTTTTTTCCCAATTGAACATAGGATTTCCAATGCCAAAACCATAATTTTACAAACGAAGTGCTGTTTTCTGAATTTGCTCAGTCCACTCCTCTTCCTTGTACAGTAGTAGCAACGCCCTGTTCGCTTGAACTTATCAGCCATGATACAGTATTTTTCTCTCCCAACAAATCAATATCAACCAGCTTATCAGCTGTAAAAACCATCTGCCAAAGACTGCAAATCTAAAAATCTTGCCATGATTACTGTTGCAAGCAGAGAGCCGTCACGGGTGCATCGTGAGGATAAAATGTCACCAAAGTCAACTTCAATAGTTTCCTGTTACGTCGTATGCACACAACAGAATTACAAAAACCATACCACTCAAAAACAAGAACAAGAACAATATCTATGCTATACATGTTTCTCTCCACCTATGTAATGTTACACGCCTCATTGTATGCACAGATTATGCCGCATCTTGTAGTACACATCCGAACACCTTCCTCAGCACCCTGGCAATGACTGGGCTGATGTCATGTCAGACAAACTTGCATCTGAATCGCCACAGCGTCTCAGGTAGGACTGCCGCAAGGACTGAGCTGATGATGTGCCTGCCGCCACATTTGCCTCCGACTGAAACTGTTGTGGCAATGACTGGGCTGACATCATGTCCGATAGACTGGCATCCGAATCGCCACAGCCTCTCAGGTAGGACTGCCGCAAGGACTGAGCTGATGATGTGCCTACCGCCACATTTGCCTCCGATTGAAACTGCTGTGGCGACCGAGCGGCCATGGTAGACAGGCTTGGCCCTGATTCCCCACATCGCCTTAGGTACGACCCATACTGACTGGAGCCTCCAAGATAGTAGTAGCTCGAAGAACCATACCCAGAATTCAAGATGTAGGGTGAACTGACATGTGGACTGGGCGATCCATGCCCAGAATGGGCCAATTGGGGCAACGAATACCTTATGCTGATTGGTGGAGACAGGTGGCTGCCAACAAGGGAGTGTGTCGATGACAAATGTGAGATGCGAGGGTGGGGAGATGACATATTTGAAAGGTCTGCGGTGCTTCTACTTGTATGGACGCCAGGTAAGTTTGTGTGAGATCTAAAGGGGTTGGGAGACTGGGGGGTACTAGAAACAGAGTAAACACGAGAAACGGAGTGTGATGAAGGATGCTGGCTTATTGGCCTTGGAGGGGAGGCTGCCACACTCGACCTGAATGAAGATGGTTGAGAAGGTAACTGAACAGCAGAGGAAAGCAGGGGGGTAGCCTCTGTTGCAGGAAGTTCTGATACTCCACTCATCGCATCTCGCTTGCATACAGGACAGAATGTTCTCCAAGAAGTTAGCCACAAGTCCACACAAGCTGCATGGAACTCTGCAAGGCAATGGGCAAAAATTATCAGTTTGTTACTTTACACATCCCATTCTTTGCACAACTGGTTTTTATACAAGGGTACACATACACTTCATTCAGGGTAATAACTTGTTTTTCCCCGTCAATTAAATTTGCAGTATTCTCGATGCGGATAAAAACTCAAAACTATTACAAGAAAACACTTGCCTTACATTCAGTAATAAATCAAGAAAATCTGTAATGTTCTCTAAACATAAGCATTAAGTGATTACTACAAGAAAAGGGCTGCCCAGATGTCCCCCACACCAATTAAAATTAGTTTGTTTAAATGAACTTGCTATATATATTTTTGTTACATTTTTAAATTACTGCTTTGTTTTGTCTAGTTCTTGTTGGGTTTCATACAGATCTTGGACAAGGTTTTGTTTCTTTTCATCCCAAATCAGAAGACTGTAAAGTACAGTATAGCAGATCAGTTGGATGTGGAAAAGTCCCAGTCATACTATTATAGTAGCATAATATGACAAAAAAAAGTAAGGTGTTAAAAGTGAGACAAACATACTGTGACGACAAGGCAGCACTCTCAGCTTTTCTCCAACATTGTAGTCTTCCAAACAAATGGCGCACATTGACGATGTGCAGTTATCTTCTTGCACTTTTGTGAAAATAAGACTTGGCATTGCCTTAACTAATTGACTGCTCATTCCATGGAACTCTCTAGCTTCTGGGATTCTAGGGTGGTCTCTCCTTATTCGATGCCTTCTCACAAAGAAACACGTAGCTAATACACTAGACATGGCAAGCAGTGATATGAATGAGATTGCCATGATTGACCAGGCTGAGTTTTCGAATGTAGGTAGTATCCACACCTCTACATCAGTATGGCCTGAAAATTTCTTCAACACCTCTCCTGAGGCCTTCGAAATGAAAACAGCACATATATGTATGCCACTTGTGCTTCCAGCCACTGCAACATTTCTAGTTAGATAGAGAAGGTACACAATCAATTGCCAATATAAATTAGTGGAATGAAATTGCATCCAGTTACGCAGTTAATTTTTGTTGTATATTTGAGCATGATCAACAGAAATAATTTTTTTGACTAAATTGTAGAGAGCAGAGCTGAGAGCAATTTGCTTGTGCACCAGTCTTGTCTCTACTTAGTGCATGGCTATCTATTCAACTTCACAATGCTATAGATAAAGTGCATCATGCATCTACACAAGTTGCATTAATAAGAAAATGAAAAGGAGCAAGTACAAGTGACAAGGAAAATTACTTGAAACCAGGACCCCACTATTTTCATTGTCATACACAATTGCAGCTTTGAATCCAGCATCCTGTGCATTTTTTACTTTCTCATCAAATGTGCATCCGCCTCTTACAATTAATGCAAAGGGAGATGGCGGGCCCTTGACTGCCTTGATTGTTAACGGGCTGCAGGCATTCAAAGGTTCAGAAGCATAAACTAAGCCATTGACTCCTGACCCTTTCACTCCTGGAGCTGCAATCCAATTGAAATGGCATGTTTGAATCCTTAAGGAAAATAAAATATTTGATGAATGTGAAAAAGAATAAGAGAGTAAGAAAAAAATGAAGCGTACACAATCAAAAGCCCAAGCCTAATGTTAGTCAGAGAACTGGTATAAAACAGCCACAAGAGCAATAGTAGGCAGTGCAATGGACTCACTCATCACCATGAATTAGCTAGTCTACAGTGTAAGCAAGAAGGTCAAACATAACACCTAAATTGAGCATATAGGAAAGCCATGCAAATAAAAAGTTTTAAATTAAGTGGCATACAATGCTAGCAGTTGATCAGACAAAATTAAATGATTGTAAGGAGTGCAGGACTCACAAAAGCTTGCCTCAATGTCATCAAAGGACATGGTCAGATTATTCCCCAGTAGCACGACATTGGCATCTCCCATCTGAGCCATGAGACAGACAATGACACAAAGAACAGGAAATCTACTCTTCATATGGGCAGTCTCCAAAGCCCTAGTAGAAGAAAATGTAACTCTTTTTTATGATGCACAAGCACATAACTGACAGGACGGAGAGCCAACTAAATACTTCAAATACTCCAAACAAGCGTCTCCAAGTGCAGCTAAATGCTTACACCCGCCAGCAGTACCTGTGGGTCACAAAGCAACAAATCAGGTTCATTTCATTCCTGAAGGAATTTTGAGTAGAAGTTGGAGATATTAATATTTCTGATTGAGTAGAAGGAACAAAACTATTCCTATAAATTCTGTTTTTATTTCCACAATTGGCAAGGCAAGAGCAACAAAGCCTTTAAGTCCCAAACAAGTTGGGGTAGGCTAGAGTTGAAACCTAGCAGAAGCAATCAAGGTTCAGGCACGTGAATAGCTGTTTTCCAAGCACTCCTATCTAAGGCTAAGTCCTTGGGTATATTCCATCCTTTCAAGTCTCATTTTATTTCCTCTACCCAAGTCAACTTTGGTCTTCCTCTGCCTCTCTTCACGTTACTATCCTGGCTTAGGATTCCACTACGCACCGGTGCCTCTGGAGGTCTCCGTTGGACATGTCCAAACCATCTCAACCGGTGTTGGACAAGCTTTTCTTCAATTGGTGCTACCCCTAATCTATCACGTATATCATCGTTCCGAACTCGATCCCTTCTTGTATGACCACAAATCCAACGCAACATACGCATTTTCACGACACTTATCTGTTGAACATGCCAATCTTCCAAAAGTATGTAGTCATGAAACACAGTAAGTACAACTCCGCTCGATGACCTTCCCTAAGAAATTGAACTATAACGAAAGAAGAAATTGACATGGTATGGTACTGAGCTAGAAAAACTCGAATCTGCAATAGTCTCCCAATGTTAGGACTCAACAATAATCCCGGTATTAAGCACACAATGCTAGATAATGAGAGTCCAAATCTGGAAGATAAAGCTGGATGGTTTCGAGTCAATGTAAAGAAGAAGTGGACGGAGGGAGATTCAGATTCGGCTAAAGAAGCGTGGCCATAACATAAAGCTATGCATTGAGGGCATCTGGAACCCGATGCTCCAGAGGTGCAGAATCTCTAAATCTTGGCTAGAACCTGACACTCCCTCCCAATGTGCCACTTATTTATACTGACTCCAAACTATCCAGATTTTATCTTCCAGAGAAGTGTCACATCTAGCACCGTGTTGCTAAATAACGAGATTTTTTCTCACCCCTAACATTGGGAGATTCTTGGTGATTCGAGTGGCGAGATAAAGGTGTACCCAAGATGAGAGAGCTCCCACTGCATGGGTGCAGGGAAGGTGTCGTCACAAGCCTTACCTCGCTTTGTGCGATCTTGAGGAGACCATGACTTCGAACCTGTGAGACCTTCCGGTCACAAAGTAAGACTCTACCGCTTGCACCAGCCCCGCCCTTCATTCGAGTGGCAGATAGATCACATAAAAAAGGAATCATTACTGGTGTTTGTTTTCAGTTTTCCATCGTGACCTACCTTAACAATCCCACAAACATAGCAGCATCACTAAGTCAATGCAATATAGCTAATGTTAGGACTCAACAATAATCCCGGTATTAAGCACACAATGCTAGATAATGAGAGTCCAAATCTGGAAGATAAAGCTGGATGGTTTCGAGTCAATGTAAAGAAGTGGACGGAGGGAGATTCAGATTCGGCTAAAGAAGCGTGGCCATAACATAAAGCTATGCATTGAGGGCATCTGGAACCCGATGATCCAGAGGTGCAGAATCTCTAAATCTTGGCTAGAACCTGACACTCCCTCCCAATGTGCCACTTATTTATACTGACTCCAAACTATCCAGCTTTTATCTTCCAGAGAAGTGTCACATCTAGCACCGTGTTGCTAAATAACGAGATTTTTTCTCAGTCCTAACATTGGGAGATTCTTGGTGATTCGAGTGGCAGATAAAGGGTGTACCCAGTGCAGAGAGCTCCCACTCTGTGCGGGGTCTGGGGAAGGGTGTCAGTGGCAAGCCTTACCCTCGCCTGTGCGATGCGAGGAGACCGCGACTCGAACCCGGGACCTTCCGGTCACAGGCGGTAAGACTCTACCGCTTGCACCAGGCCCGCCCTTCATTCGAGTGGCAGATAGATCACATAAAAAAGGAATCATTACTGGTGTTTGTTTTCAGTTTTCCATCGTGACCTACCTTAACAATCCCACAAACATAGCAGCATCACTAAGTCAATGCAATATAGCTAATGTTAGGACTCAACAATAATCTCGGTATTAAGCACACAATGCTAGATAATGAGAGTCAAAATCTGGAAGATAAAGCTGGATGGTTTCGAGTCAATGTAAAGAAGAAGTGGATGGAGGGAGGGAGATTCAGATTCTGCTAAAGAAGCGTGGCGATAACATAAAGCTAGGCATTGAGGGCATCTGGAACCCGATGCTCCAGAGGTGCAGAATCTCTAAATCTTGGCTAGAACCTGACACTCCCTCCCAATGTGCCACTTATTTATACTGACTCCAAACTATCCAGCTTTTATCTTCCAGAGAAGTGTCACATCTAGCACCGTGTTGCTAAATAACGAGATTTTTTCTCAGTCCTAACATTGGGAGATTCTTGGTGATTCGAGTGGCAAATAGATCACATAAAAAAGGAATCATTACTGGTGTTTGTTTTCAGTTTTCCATCGTGAGTTCGTGACCTACCTTAACAATCCCACAAACATAGCAGCATCACTAAGCCAATGCAATATAGCTAATGTTAGACTATAAGGTATTGCAAGTTACCAAATTCTAAATGGCAATAAAAAGATGCTAGCTCCTAATTAGGCCACTGTACCATGCATTTTTTTTTTCTCAATCAACTTTGTTGGGGTGAATAATATGTAGAACTGCATAATTAGCTCTGCATTTTCTGGATTGTTCAGAATATAAAGACAGCACTTCCAAACATATGATTTTGAGTTTTTGACATTACTCACAGAAGCTTCATGGCGAAAAGGTCCGTCCACTTCCCCTAGAAGTGCAGCGGCATCAGCTAGCCATAGAGTGCCACCACTGGCTCCAATCCCTTTGTGCGTTGCCGGAGACAAGAGGCCTTGGACCTGCACCACTTCCAATCACACCTGCGTTGCCGACGACAGTAGCACCTGTTGACCTGTTGTGGTCGGGACCCTCCAGCCACTCCAATCCGCCGGATCCGCTTCGAGGAGGAAGGCCACGACTCACATTAAGGTCGGGGTCGGAGAAGAAATCCCTGGCCGCGGGATTGGTGGCCGGCGGCGTGACGGAGCCCTAGAACTCGCCGTCATCCCCGTGCTCCCGGAAGAGCTACCTCGCGGCAACGGCGTGAGGAGGAGGAGACACAGCGGAGGGCGGCGACGGAGTGGGTCGGCGTGCAGCGGCGACGCCGAAGGGGAACGGGGACTGCAGTGCAGCGGCTCACCGACGCTAGGAGAGGAGGGGGACTGGAGTGGGAAGGCCAGAGGCGGAGGCGGAGGCTAAGTCGCTTTTCGTTTTTCTCGCCGGTGAGTCCACGGGACGGAGACGGAAGAGACGGTATGAGTGGATAGAGTTGGGAGGGCAAATTGGTCTTTGTATTTTTTATTTTTTATGATCGACCATATGCACCTGCCACCCTGGCTCTGGCTGTATTATGCTCAGCCACCACGTACAGTACAGTACGCACCGAAGGTCCACGACATTGGACCGAGGTGAGAGAGTAAGGGAAAACGATAATAATAAAGCCCAAATACATGACGCAATGTCTAGAGACTCTCTAAATTCTTTCTAATAGCTAGCAATAAAGATTTTGATGTAAAAATATCTTTCAATAGACTCTTTAATTGGTTATCTAAATATAGTTGTTATTTATTTCGGATTTTTCGCTGGCCAAAGAATGGAAATAAGAATAGTTCTCTAGAGTGCAACCAAAGATATAGAAAAACTGTTGAAGAATAAAATAATATAGAAAACGATTTTTATGCAAATAACTCTCCAGACAATGACTTAGAGAGAGAGCGTCAGACAGACTCTTGGAGATGCTTTTAGACCGTTAGCTCGACCCGAATCACACTATTTTGTCTCAGTCCAAGCATGACATGGCACGATGCTAGGCAGGCCTAGGCCGGTCCAACCCTGTTTAGGACTATGCTTGAGCTGCATCTTAGCCACATTGCGCGGCATTGGCCCGGCCTGCTGAATGCTCTCCATGTAGCTTTTACCATATAATATTGTGTGGTATCGGAAGTGATGATGTTCTCTCATTCATCCTCAACAATACCATTTTCATCCTGCAAGTAGAATATATTATTCTTTCTTTTTCTATCATTTGCATCTCTACGTAAGAATTGTGTTGTTATCATCATTAAGCAGCCAAGCCAAGTAGAGTTCTTCTAAAATTTAGTGTTGTTATCTCTGCCTTATTTGGTAACTCAGGTTACACTTTTAGTTTTATGATCTAGAATGAATTAATTAGGCAAAATTTGCTCCGGGACATCACTCAAACGTCTTATTTGTTGTTGGACACCACAATTCGAAAATTGGCCAAGTACACTTATGAATTCAAGTATATTTGCCACAAAAAACTACAGCCAGAATTTTTTTGAGGTCAACAACGGGGAGGATTGAACGATCCTCCCCTTGAAATTCATTCCACCGATTCCGGCGATGCTGGTGGGTGGAACGGGCTAAGCCCTCCAAATTAGTGCTTTGAGTTACAATCCAAGAGAGAGGCCGGGAGGGGCTCAGCCCTCTGCAGCCAATATTTTAATCTTTTCAGCTATTTGGGAGAGTGAAACTTTTCAAAATGATGCTTATTGCCCCCTAGATCTATTCTGGACCCAAGCTACACACTTCACTTGGTTGAACCAGACCGTGTCGCCTTTAGTCTTGAGAAACCCTAGCCCTCATTTTAGTCGTCACGGTCGGCCACAATCGCCGCATCTTCCACTCATGCCGCCGCCAATCCCACCCTGCGCTGCTTGCCGCTACCGCCACTGCTCCTGCCCTCATCTTGATGGGCATGTGAAGATGGTGTCGCCTTTAGACTTGAGAAACCCTAGCCCTCATTTCAGCCATCGTAGTCGGCCACAACCGCCACATCCGCCATTCCTGGCGCCGCCAATCCCACCCTGCCCCAATCCCGTAAGGTGGGCTGGGGCGGGACGTGGGTGGCGCGGCGAGGCGGCAGGAGCCGCCAGCCGCCGGTGGTGGGGGTGGGGGCGACGCGAGGACGAGGATGACGCCAGTGACCTTGATTCTCTTTACGGGAGGGCGGGTCATTGGGTGGTGGAGGACGGTGGGTGGCGCACTAGAGGTGAGGAAGCCGTTGGCCGCCGGTGGTGGAGGGCGGGGGAGGGACGGCGACGGAGGTACGTGGGGAGGAAGACGGTCGAGGGGGCTGACGGAGCTAGAGGTAGAAGATGACTGATGGATTTGCATTATTTTAGGCACCTGCCCCTAGAGGCATATATACCCTGTGAAAATTTTTAGCGCGAGAGAAGGACAAATGTGTTATAGTGAGAGCTTGGGATTGCCCTTATTATGGTAGCGAAGATAGATACTATTACTGGAAAATTGATGCCAATTGCCTGTCTGTGGTTGGATCGAGAACAATGACCTTTTTCCCAGATTAATAAGGTAGTAGAACTGTATGCAACTGGCTACAGGACATGCAGCTAATAACGATGAAAATTAAGTAATAGAGATGGATGGATCAATAGCTTGCGCGGGCAGCCTGGCTTGCTCCACCTCCGGCATGAGGCAGCGAGCCGGCGCCGGCGCGGTACCACGCGAGCGCTGATCGGGCATCGTCGGCTTTGGCGGCCACGAACGCCTCCTCCCCAGGCGTGGCCGCGAACTCCGCCGCGCCGCAGGTGAGCCTGGCGGCCAGGCTGGCCATCCACTCCTCCATGTGCACGGCCACGTCCTCCATCCGTGCGGCCACGGCCATCTCCTCGTGCGTCTTCAGGATGTAGCTGTAGTCGTCCGTCTCCGCGTCCGCCGCCAGCCTTAGTCAGGTCCGTTTCACTCAGGCGGCGCGTGGCGGCGGTCACCTCCTCCGCGTCCGCGCGCAGCGCGCCCACGCGCGCGGCCAGCGCCCGCAGCTCCGCCACGAGCGCCTGGTCGCGTGGCCTGAGCCTGAGCGACAGCGGCGACGACAGAGCCCGCTGCATGGCCTCCTCTTCTTCTTCCATCACCTCCGCCGCCCGCTGGGCTACGGCCTCCACGCCCTCCGCCCAGTGCCACGACTCGGGAGTAAGGACGTCGTCCACGTCCTGCAGCGCCGCCACCCTGGCCCGTAAGCCCTTCAAGTCCTCCTCCAGGCCCTTCATGTCCTCCTCCAGTAACATGATCTGCATCTGCGCTCCGTGCGGAGGCGGACGCGGGCGAGGAGGAGGTCTACGGCGTGCGGGCGAACGCACGCGCGCGTACGGGAGCGGACCGGCGCAGCTTCACGGGAGCGGATCGGCGCGATGCAGACGCGCGCCTGCACACGCAGGACGCGGACCGAGCGCGCGGCTTCGGCGGACGCGGAGCTGACGACCGAGGCGCACGCGATGCGGATCGTCCAGGTGGACTGCACGGGCGCGGCTTCGACGACGTGCGGCCGCGGGATGCAGGGGCGCGAGGCGGACCTGGCGGACGCGATGCAGACCACCTGGACGGGCTCGGAGGACGCGACCACTGGCGAGACCCGCGCCTCGAGCGCGGTCTGGAGGCCCAGCGGGACCGGGAGCGCGCGGCGCACGAGCGGGCTCTGCCCGACTTCGAGCGGGACCAGGGCGGACGCGACTTCGACGCACGCGGCCGCGGCAGGCGTGACCTGGACGACGACGAGCAGGGCGGACGGGACGCAGGCGCGCAGAGCCCTCACGCGCAGTGCGCCTCCCCTTCCCCGGACCGGCGTCGAGGTCGCCGTGGTCGGCCCGGCTCCCCTCCTGTCATGCAGACCATCGTCAAGGACGCCGGCGCCCAAGGCGGATGGCCCATGCTCACCAAGACCAACTACGCCAAGTAGTCCATGATGATGAAGGTGAAGATGCAGGCGCGGCGCAAGTGGAACGCGGTTCGGTATGGCGACGCCGACTTTAAGGAGGATCGGCGGGCTCTGGAGGCGCTTCTTGCTGCTGTTTCGACGGAGATGCAGTCTTCCCTCATGAACAAGAAGACCGCCAAGGACGTCTGGGACGTCATCGCCGCCGCCCGCATCGGCAGCAACCGCACCCGCCGGTCCACGCTTCAGAAGCTACGTCAGGAGTGGGAGAACCTGACTTTAAAGAACCTGGCTTTAAAGCCAGGCAAGGACATCGACGACTTCGCTCTCCGCCTCAACACCCTGATGCAGCAGTTGGCGCGGTACGGCGACACCGACATCGACGAGGAGAGAGCCATGGAGAAGTTTCTCCGCGTCATCCCCAAAAAGTACACGCAGCTGGCTCTGTCGATCGAGACGCTGCTGGACTTCACCGAGCTCACGATCGAGGAGGTGACGGACCGTCGACCACCGCGAGCAGCTACCCTCAGGGCCGGTCACCATCGATGGCAAGCTTCTCTTCACCGAGGAGCAGTGGCTCACTCGCCAGCGTGAGCGGAACAAGGGGGAGGCCTCGGGTTCGTCGGCCTCAGGATCGTCGAGCAGCCGTAAGCGTCGGCCGCGCAAGCAGGACAAGGCGCGTGGTGGCGCTCCTAACTGCGCCGACGGTGAGCGCAAGGCCATCCGCGATGACACCTGCAAGAACTGCGGCAGGACCAGCCACTGGGCGAAGGACTGCTGGCAGGCGAAGCGTGGCGGTCAGGCACACGTCACGCAAGCGCAGGAGGGTGACGAGGTGGCTTTGTTGTTCATCCACGGGAGCATCGAGCCACACTCCTCTCCCGCACCGGCCGCCGCCGCGCTCCTCTGCTTCGACGAGCCGTGGGCCCACGTCTTCCTTGGCAACGGGTCTGGCGGCGACAAGATTGACAGGTGGTACCTCGACACCGGCGCACCCACCACATGACCGGGCGACAGGAGTTCTTCTCCGAGCTCTGTAACATCCCTGATGTTATAAAGTACTTAATAAGGTGATCATGTCATCATTATGCATAATCATCATGCATCAACTCATGAATGCATTTCGTGTTTATAATATAGCATGCCAATGTTATTTATGGAGTGTTTTATATATTACCTGAAATAATGTTAATATCAATAATTATGAAAACTTTGTTATGCATTCACTAAAACAAGTTTACTTTTATGTTATATGTGTTGACTTGTATGGATGAATCAATTTCAAAACATTTGTGTTTAATTGGATTTCCGAAAACCCGAATTTCCAGCATTTAAGTTTACCGTGGGTAACCCAATTCAAAATCTAAGCATATTTTGGGGTTGAGCCTTAAAGCAAAAGTGTAGAGCTTGTCGAGTGGTACAAAGTTTGTTTTTGGAATTTTCAAAGTTGTTAAGAAAATTTTGAAGCAATTTGAAAAGGCGAAATTCTTTAAATGTTCCCTATTTGAATTCAAATTTGCATTTCAAAATGTAGACCGAATTAGGGGGTGGTTATAAAAGCAAAGTTGTAAAACTTTAGATTTTGAACAACTTTTATTTTTGGAGATTTTTGAGTTGTTATACAAATTTGGGAGTAATTTGGAAATTTAGACGGATGACAATTATGTAAATGCGTTGAACAGTGCTCGCCGCTTAAGCTACATCGCCGGCGACTTTCTCCTGGCTTCCAGTCGCGCCTGTGGCCGCCCTTGGCTTCGCGCTGGCGCGGGAAATACTCCTCCGTGGCTTCTCCTTGCTTCTGTGCCGCGTTATAAGACCTGTATCGTCGTCGTTCTTCGCCGTTTGCCTTCCTCTGTTTTCCCGATGTCGCTGTCGCTGCTCCGTCGAGCTCGCCTCGCCTCCTCAGCGCAAACCAGCCTAGGCTAAGCTTGCCACTGCTTCGCTAGTTCCTTGCGAAACCAGTCCTCCAGCCCTTGTTGCTTGATTGCGCCGGGAACCGTCGTTCTTTGCCTTTCTTCCCCGCAGCCGGCAACCTCACCGTGGTGTGCGCGTCGCTGTGGCCAGAGCTCCACGGTGCACCTCTGTCCTTGTGTTTGGTTGCTCCAGTTTCATCTCGATGCCGTGGTGTTTAATATCTTGTTGATTGTCATTTTGTCCATCGCAGCCACCAGAGCATCATCGTCGTCGAAGATTGCTCCGCCGTGATCGCTGTGACCATCGATCCGCCTATCCGTTGTTCCTCCGGCTCGTCCATCGCCTTCAACGTGTTCGAGGTGAGCTTCTGGTTCTTCCCGAGCTGTTTGTTTAACCGCTACCGCACTTGTTTCGTCGGCGTAGTGTCGCCGCACCGTCGTGGCCGCCATGGCCGGCATCGTGCTCAGTCCAGTTCGTGTTAGGTCTAGTTAGTGTCACAAATCGATGCGCTGTGGTGTTGTGGTCATGTAAGTACCTTGGCCGTCGCCGGTGACCTCATCGTCGGCGAGATTTCGTCGGTCAAAGCTGCTGCCGCCGTGGTCAGCGCGGGAGGAAGGAGATGACATGTGGGGTCGGGCTGTCAGTGACTCAGCGGTTTGAAAATGATTTTTTCTATTTTCAGAGATGAATGAATAGTGTATGTTTTTGTTTTTTTGTGTAGAATTATTTGGAGCTCCAAAAATTATGAAAATTTTTGTGTGACTTCTCTGTGATGTATATTATTTAGGAAAAATATGAAATGTTGATTTTTAGTACTTTTTGAATATGATAAAAATTGCTCAATTAATTAATAAATGAGTTTCCATGATTTTTCTTAGCTTATTTCTTTATTCAAAAATTATGAAACTTGTTTTGCCACTTAGTTATCATAAGGTGAACATTTACAAAAATTTTGAGGTTAATTGGAACAAGTTGATTTATTTCATAATTTGTAATTAAATAATTAATTCATAAAAGCAAATAGTAACATTTAATGATTTAGGTTTTGATTGAATTTTGGATTGAGTGATGACCTTGGGTCATTAGTTGATAATGATCCTTGGCAATGGAGTTAAGTGTTACGAAAAAGGTTTAGTTAGTTTGACTTGTAACTGTACTGCGAAGGAAAGTTGTATTCAAGTTGTTAATTTTGCATCCATCATCGAGCATCATATTTTGTATCTCGCATCATGTTAAACATGGCATTGTTACTACGTGTAGTGAACGAAGGTGAGCACATGGTAGTTAATCAAGTGGTTGAGGAAGTTAATCCGCCTGTTGAGGTCGAGTTTGATAATTGTGGAACGACTCCGGATCCTAACTTTTCCGTCAACGAAGGCAAGCCCCGGATGCATTTAACCTACCTTGTGATTTACAAATTGATTTCTCTTTTGCTTTTCTTTATTGCATTAAGTGATTAGGAGTTAAGTAAAAACCTAATTGGTGCATTACCAACCTTGTTTTACCATATCTATCTTGTTACCAATTTTAATTCGTATATGCCTAGTTATGCTTAGCTATGCTTAGAACGATGAAAGTCGGGGGATTTCCTATCACCTGCAAGTTTTAAATAGAACTTTGGTTACTTATGTTATCATGTGATATGGGAATGTGGAGTAATAAATCTAGACCGGGCGGACTCGGTGTGTGAGAGCCACAAGACATGGAGGTCTTGTAAGCGGGTTCTTTTCGCCTGTGTCGATTAAGGTCCGTCCATTGTTGAATTACATGAGGTGAGACTTTGTAGTACTAACCACATACTCCGGTAAGCCTTAACTTGGCGATTCTATTACGAGAATGGCTACTCGCGCACTAGGAGTGGAGAGATGGCGAGAATAGCGTGTACCCACGTGGCAATGGGCTGGATTGGTGGAGTACTATATTCTCGGGTGGCGCGGACCCGTTCTTGTTTTAGAGGACCTGAGGGTAGGTTGGTATATGTAGGTCGGGGACCTGCATATGTCGTGTGGTCTGGAATTCCCAGCTGGGTTTAATCGGTTCGAATCGTCGTTGCTCCTCAGTTATGGAGACTCAACTCACTGTTCATCATCGTAGTTTAATAACCGAAATTTGAGTAAGGTTTGAGAAGGTGTTGGATATGAAGTTTCATGATCTCAATGCGGATCATGTCAGCTTTGTATATGATCTTTATGAAGTTTTATATGTTGAATTAAAGAATTTTGTTAAAATGCTTTTACGCAAAAGAACTTTGATTATTGTTAAAGCCGTACCTTGAATCCCTAAGCCCGCATTCCTGCGCCTTATCAGTTTTATTTCGGTTAAGTCTTGTTGAGTACTTTTGTACTCAGGGTTCGTTGACCCTTGTTGCAGGTGAGGCTCATGAGCAGGTCTGCTTTGGACCGTGCTGCATGACTGTTGTTCAATGCGACGACGATAAGTAAATGCGTGGCC